AAGCAGATGTGCCACGTGCCAAGGAGCTCTATCAACGTCTCTGGGGCGCTCTCTCCAAGTACAACAAGTCAAAAGAGTATGTTAACATCAAGGCAGAGAAGAATGTTGTCGTCGACAAGGAGCTCGGCATCACTGACATTTACTTCAAAGCCAGTCTTCCAGAGAATCACTCGATCGACGCGATGAACATCACGCACAACGGCAACGTCATGGTCAAGTCAATCAACAACCTCGACATGTTTGACACGCCATTCGCTCGCATCATGCCATTCATCATCGCTCGTGGACGCAAGATGATTGGAACGATAATAAAGGACGACATTGACAGCATCAAGCGAGTGCACACTGACGGATTCGTCTCGACCAAGCCCTGGACTGAGAAGACAGGCAAAAAGTCATTGGACTACCCCAAGTTGGGCAAGGAGTGTGGAGACCTGCGCTACGAGGGCTACTGCCCCGACGCCATTGTCAAGAATATGGCCAAGGTCGAGGGAACATTCATTGTTTAAATAATGTTGGATAGGATATAATGGAGGAGTTCAGCAGGTTCTTGGACAAGAATAAAGTAGAGTCACCATCAGAGGCAGCATGGAACATCATGGAGGATCCAGTGTTGAAGTCCTTATTTTACAGGACCTATGAGGAGCTTGTTGACTGGAAAAAGATGTACTATTCTGCTGCTAATGAGAGGGATGTCCTGAAATCGAGGATGGAGTGCAGACAAGATAATAACTACTACAGTATGATCAAACCTCTCAGATCAGGGCCGGTGATGTTTGTGACGAGACCTTGGTTGCAAATATAATGTGACCTATTTGATATAATGGAGGACAGCACTGAATTGTTTATCAATAGCCAGGGAGAGTTAACCAACAAGATAAATTCAATCACTGATCTAATTCTAAGGGATCGTGAGCAGGATATCAAAGCAGCTGTGTCTAAATACAATGATTCAGACAGCGATTGTGACCTATCACTCGATGACTCTGACGACATGTCTGACGATAATATTGAGGACAATGAACCTTCAATGTTCAGATATCTTGACAAAAAAGACTCAGCCAGGGCATTGAGACAATTGAAGAGCTGGTATAAGTGTGCCCAGGAAGATATTCATCGGCAACGAGTACAGTTGGTAAAGGAGAGAGACCAATACAAGGATAAACTGAACAATATGATTGCCGAGCTGTTCGCCATATACAAGAAATATGGCCCAGGATCAACATTATAATCTCTACTTCCATCATTATGGACGTAAAGAATACCATCGACAAGAGTGGCAACAACACCAACAAGTCATACATGCAACAATACTACGAGGAGTACAAAGAGGAGATCAAGGCCTACAACACTGAGAGGATACCATGCGATACTTGTGGCAAGTGTATTTCGCGACATATGATGAGGCAACACTGGAGGAGGATGCATCAATAACTACAAGTGTTTATATATATCGGGAGTAAGCTAATGGCTGGAGAGGTTACTCTCCTTGCCTCCAGCCATGATCCAGATCCATGGACCTATAAATACAAGCAATGGCACTCCACAGCCTAGTTGGAGGTGTTGGGAGTGCGAGGATCTTGCATGAACGTTTCATACAAGTTGTACTGTCCATCATCGTCTTCCAATGTAGGCAGGTCCTCCTTCTTTGCTGTTGGTTGTGGTCTCAATGGTAGGACAAGATCATAGTTGGCGAGGCTGGCCATCGATGGAGATGGTGACGGTTGCTCAGTGAAGCGGCTGGCCTGTGCAGCGGTGACAGATAGAGTTGGCTTGGCTGGAGAGACAAGGCGAAGATGGTTGTCCATGGCCATTGACAGTACGGATGATGGAGACGGCGGCATCTCGGTGAAGCGGGTAGATTGTTGATGCGCCTGCATAGGAGGAGAATAGACGGACTGGATCCGTTGGCGCATGTGCTTCTGAGTCTGACGCTGCTTGATAGCCTCTTCTTTCTCAATTGCTATCTTGGCAGCATCTCGTAAGATTCTCTTCTCCACTCGGGCTGCAGACTTCAATCTCTTGACCTCTTCCCTCTCTGCCGCATTGGCTTCGTTGATAATATCACGTTCCCTCTTGCGAGTGTCTTTCGTATCTTGACAGATCTGACACAGTTGGTCTCCTGGCTCGTTGACATCCCTCTTGCAGGCTGGGCGAGAACACTTAAGATCAAAGTGCTCCTCGCATAGAGGCTGACCACGCATGGCATAGGACTTGCACTTGGGACGTGAGCATCGGAACTCAGAAGTATCTAAAGTGGGAAGATAAGTACAAGGTAACTATAAAGCTATAATTACATCATACTTCCATACCGTTTGTAGAGACAGTCATTGTTGTAGAATGGCTTGATCCTACGCTCCAAGAGGGGTATTTATTTGGTCATAAACATATGAGAGCGATCTCTCATAGCTGATTGACTGTTCTAAATTAGGCAGTGGGATCTGTATCTTTAAGGTGAACACTCGGTGAACAGTTGGTGAACAGTTGGTGAACAGTTGGTGAACACACACACACACACACACACTCTCTCTCTCTCTGTCTCTCTCTCACACATTTACTCATAGCTGTAGCAGTCTACACTTATAAGTAACCGAATTTCTTGTATCTCTGTTCCATTGCTCGCGCTCGCTTCTCCTCTCTCCTCACATCACTGTAGCCAGTCGCCTCTTTGAAGGGCACCCCGCGATAACGATTGATCAACCATTTTATTGCGTGCAATCCACAGGTATCAGTATTGACAGCCTGGTCAATCACCCTGTTGACTTTAAACTTCAAATACACGTCTGGATCTATCTCTTCAACCAACTGCTTCATCCTCCTCATAAAGTCAGTGCTCGGGTCATCGCCAAACGAGTCATAATACTCGATCGACTTGTCACCCTTGGCATCAATGTTACAAGCGACCCAGTGACTGCCCGGCTGATGGCTGTTGTCCAGGTTCATAATGAATGACATGCACTGCTTGGGCTTGAGCTCATCCAGTTGATCACTCGCGATGACACCCTCAAACCCATCCTTGTGGAACGGCAGCTGCTCAATCTCATAGTCGTAAAGCCCACCGCTATCCTCTCGCTTGCCGCTTCCCTTCTTGATCTGGTGCGCCTCATTCTTAATAGCATCTACCAACATGTCCTTGTTCTTGTGATTCTTGAGCTCCTTCTTTAATAGTGTTGGAAGGTCCTGCCAACTGACTGCATTGTTCCAATAGCGTGTGACGAGATCCATGACTTGAGGAGCAACTGACTCTAGAACGTGTCGCATCGATGCCATGTCCTGTACTCGTTTGGCGTGTATCGTGTCATCTTTGAGCTGTCTCTGAAGTTCTTGCTTCTCTTTTGGGTCCATTGCAGCAGGCCTCAACTCTTTGCCCAGATGATAGTAGAGCGTTATTGGGTTTGTCATGGTCGGGTCCCCGTCAATGTACTTCTGAATGATTGGTTCGATCCACGACATCAACTACTACGACAACAACGACTAACAAGAGATCTATCCCAGCATCTAGTGTCAAGGCATTGAGAGACGTACCAGCAGCTCTAACTCCCAAGATCTTGGGAGTTGTCGGAGGATTGGTTGGTGTCGTTGTGGTTGTTGATGTTGTCGAAGTGGCTGGAGGATGAGGAGGAGAGCTGTAAGGAGACCTCTCCTCTGGCTCTGGCTCTGGCTCTGTCTTTACCTTTGGGACTGGCCTGGACATGATGGATGGCACGGGCTTCTTAAGCAACGAGGGCTTGGGCTGTTTGGGAGCAGCAGCAGCAGCCATGACCTCCACTGCTTTCATGTGCTCGACAGTCTTCTGCTTCTCTCTCTCTGCTCGCTCCATCGCTTGCTCCAATCGTTGTTCATTGACGGCTTGGTCCAGCATCCTCTTGACATCGCCATCGTCCATTTGGTGCCTGATGCGATCAATCTCTCCATCTATGTGTTCAAGCTTGTCTGTGTCGCGTGGCTCCTGCTTGCTGATTGACCTTCTCTCTGACAACAGCTTGTTGATTTTTGACATCGCGCTGTTCTGTTCGCGCTCACGGTGATCTGCAAGCTTCTTCATCTCCAGTTCGTATCTCTTCTGCTCCACTTGCGCTTCAATCTCGAGCTTCTCCATGTCCTGTTGGAATCGCTTGTTGAGTGATTGCTTGATGTCCATGATGTCAGAGTGAGCCTGTTGTAGTAGTCCATGAGTTGAGGTCTGTCGCTCGAGCAGTCTGTCAAGGTTGTTGCCCAGATCATAACCATCGTCCTCTTCTTCCTCTTCCTCGTCATCTGATGGTGGAGGGGAGACCTCTTTGAATACATGAACGACGTGGTCACCTTCATTGATGCCGTGTTCTCCAATCTCATGGGCAGCCGCTGGTATTGCTGCGTCGATTAATAGTTGATCAGGTGCTGGTAGTGCTGGTAGTGCTGGTGCTGGTAGTGCATGTACAGCAGCGTCCTTGATGATCGCATCGACCTTTGCTCTAGTCTGTTGTTCCAAGTCCCTGGCATTCTTCATCAGCGCTTCCCTGTAGTTGGCGTCCTGTATTGATCTAATGTATGATCCTTCTGTTGGAGTGATGTGAGATTGGGCAGTTGACGGTGTCAGTATGGGTTTGGCGTTGGATGCCTCTGCCATCAATTTCTTGATCAACTCCAAGTCTGACTTGCGAGAGTTGATGTACACCTTTCTCTTCTTATTTCTGATGTACCTACCCTTCTTGTCGCGTCGAAGGCGCGCTGGTCTGATCTTCTTTATCTTGACTCTGAGCTTCTTGCCCTTGGTATCATTGATCTCTAAATGGACGTCATGTCTAACCATTATACATATATATGATCGTTAGAATTTAGTCAGAAGTCGGTGTTTGAGTAGATCAGATTTGAGGGGAGGACGTACTTGTTGTTGTTGTTGTTGTTGCACAACAATTTTATCGTGGTGGTGTCCATGAGGTCCAATGAGGGGCCTCTGGTGCATCTCTCACTCAACAGGGGTCTCAAAAGTGCACAAATGGAGGATCACCACCACTTGAAGGAGTGCTTTATTCAACATTTTATTGATGTTTTGCGTGGTGGTGTCCATGATGGCTTCCAATGTGGGGTCCGCGACGATTGAGTGTTTTGCTCCAAGCCAGTGATCAATCAATGAGGTGTTCGAGGCGATGAATCTGTGTTGCTGTTATGTGTTTGTATGATATGTTCGCTTTGAAGAATGACTTGCTTGCATCCTTCTCATACATTTTAATTCAAAATAATGCAACAATAATTCATCCTCTCATATCAACAACCAAACATGTCCTCACGAGTTGATAAATAATCTGCCACACAAAAATGAATTCGACTCTAAGTCGATGAATCTCACGCAGGAGTTGTATGCGTGGACACCTCCACGATTAATTTGTTGTGTTGTGCGATCGGAATAGTTGGGACGGCAGCAGTTTGAGCGATGATTGGCTCTGGTGCTACCTCTTTGGCCTTTTGCATACTATTGGACAGCGTACTGAACTGGGCCAGCAGCTCGTCCAACTTCTTGTCCAACGCATCCGTCTTGTTGACTCTGGGCTTGTACTCTCGAGTAGGCTTGGCCTTGGGCTTTTCTGCCTCTATCACTATTGGTTTGGCATCTTCGATTGGTAGTTGATCATCATCATCATCATCGTAGATAACCAAATCTGATTGTTGTTGTTGTTCTTTCAATGCTCTCTGTTCCTCTCTCCACTTTGCCAAGTTGGCTGCTGATCCTGCGTATCCTTTCTTTATCGGCATCGTTATTCAAGACACAATACAGGCACAACTAAATCAACAATCACCCAACCAGTTGACGTACTCAATCACATGGCCAACATCCAAGCAACCCAATACAGGTAAATATACATTCATTTGTTCAAGTGGCAAGATGCAAGTATCATTCATATTCAATGATGCTGACCTGTTTCATCATCTAGGTTTCAATCAAGATAGCATCAACTACTTTGAAGATGGTCAGTTAACAAGCACCAATGTGATCGACTTGCAGATTGAGAACATCCTTTACATTCATTCAGACCTGTGCAGCAATGGATCAGATGATGTGCTGCAAGAGGTATGTACTGCGGGAGTTCCTGACTTTGCGTATGTCAATTGGACTAACCATAATCTAGAAACCAAAACAAAAAAAAAAAAAAAAAAAACAAAAAAAAAAAAAAAAAAAAAAATAAAAAACAAGGATGGAGTTGAGATCTTTCTCAATGGCGTCGACCTGAACTTGACGATCATAT